TAATTTATAAATTATTTTTCTGGTATAAATTTGCTGTTTTACATGATTGTTGAATGAAATTAACATAATTATTAATTTATTGTAAAAACATGACAGATAATCTGTGAAACAGATCCAGTTCAGCTGCTGTTTATCTATTAGTTTCTATGGAGGCTGTGAGCTGTTGTCTGTTTGGTCTGTTTCTGCTCCTCCATGACGTCACTGACACCAGTGTACAGGTAGGGCGGGGCTCAGTCTTGTGATCTTATTCAAATCTATGGATTTTTCTAAAAATTACTTCTAATTTTGTTTCATCTTTTGTTTAAAAATACATGAGAAAGTTGAGATATAAACGCAAATTTGAACATCTTAAAGCTGCATGACTGACACTGATAAGACACGCCCCCTGGCTCTGATTGGCTGGTTCTGACCAGGAGCTGTGGATTCCTGCAGGGGCTTTATTTTTGTCTCATACTCTCCTGTCAGCACAGAGTGACAGTTTGAACAGACATATAAAAGATCATCTTATTTTGAAAAGGGGTCAGACCTTAAAAATAAAAGTAATCACACGACCCCAACGTTCAGCTCAGTATCTGTAAAATCCACAGAGCTGCTTGGTGTGGCTAAGGCTCATTGTCCTGTACACTTCTTGTTCTCAACATTTATTAAAATTCAAGAACTTTATAAACTCCCTTAAACCTCTAGAGGACATTTCCCTGATCAGGAGGCAGTTTTTGTAGAGAACATCGGACTTCTCACCGGTGGAGGGACAGTCTTGTATCTGACCCAGAAGAAAGCAGCTATCAGCCCGACGTCTCTGAGAATCACTAAAGCTGTGAGAGGAGCTGAAACACACAACACCAGGTGAGACTTTCTGCAACACCAAACTGACCGAACAGAACCGACACAGAGTTTCATACCTGGGATGAGTTCAGCGTAGGTGAGACTGACGTATAAAATACTGATGAGGATCTTATCAGCCAGAGGGTCCAGAGCGCTGCCTAAAGCAGACTTCTGACTGGGCCACGTCCTCGCAATCAGTCCGTCCAGCTGCAGGAGACAGAACAGGAAATGTCACTGATCCAACCTCACATTCACATCAAAATGAGACTTAATGGCTTTGTGTGTTAACGTGTGGAAAACTTACGTGGAAGTTTTTGTAGTTTTTGTTTTGAACGTTCAGATTTTGCACCATTAAAGGTAGAATCTGAGCTGTGACAACAGCTTTTACTTTCAGTCTCACTGAACATTAATTATCTGTGTGCAAACTTTTTAAAGACAAATAAATAAGTCTTATTTTTGTGTTTCTGTATTCTTTCATTTGTTGCCCACCTCCACATCACACCCAACCTGAACATGTTTGTGTTTTAATCTGAAAACTCTTCCATTAAAGTAGACATGATCCTTTAAAATCCCTCCTTTTCACATTTAAATCATTCAGTTGTGTCTTTATAAAGTGGAACTGCAACGTTTTAGTCTGATTTTTATTATTTCACGACTTCTCTGATGTGTGTCTAAACACAGCTTGTTTTGTTAATGTTTCTTACAGATGCGTCAAGCTCCACCGAACTCCAGCTTCCAGACCGGTCCACTCCG